TCTTAATCTACTACTCAATCTTTCAATGTGTTATTATGTATGTTACTCATTAAAATTTGAATGTGTTAATCTACTATTCAATCTTTTAATTTGTTTCTTTCAAAGATTTGTTATGAAATCATAAGCTACAAAAGTCATACAAAATACAATATTTATAATCACATTCTAAATGTTATTTGGGTTATTCGGGCCGGAACCGAACCGAACCGAACCCGTATTGCTTATTCGGTTCGGTTTTCGGTTCATACAATTACCCTTATTCGGTTTTCGGTTTATTCGGGTTCGGGTCGGTTCGGTTTGGTTCCGACCCGAATAACATCCCTACATGACACCATGGGTGGCTAGTTGTGACCTCCTGTGACGATGAGGAAAAAGGAGCCGCTAAAGCCGATCAGGTGACACGGCGGCTAACCTGTCCCACACACGCTCTCGACTCCAGCTCCCCATTTTTTTCACGAAATTATTCAACCAAATAGTAATTCGAAATTGGGGGAAAATTGAAAACCTCTTTTTGATCTCTCTTGACTTTCCGAGACCTCTGACGACCGCCATGACGACGGAGGAACCACCGCTCTCCGCATCAACAACGTCACTTCTAGATAAACCTCTTCACCAACTCACAGAAGACGACATTTCCCAACTCACTCGCGAAGACTGCCGCCGGTACCTCAAACAGAAAGGTTTACATCCTTCCGGTGGTTGTTTGGTCTATTTTATTGGTGTTCTGGTGTGTTTGTATTTTTAGATGGATTGTTTGATGCCGCTGCAGGAATGAGACGTCCGTCGTGGAATAAATCTCAGGCGATCCAGCAAGTAGTTATGCTCAAGGCGTTACTTGAACCTACGCCGGACTCGGACGGATGCCGCCGGAAGCTCCACATTACCCATCTGCAACAGGAAACCCCAAACACGCGTGTACGTTTGGATTAATTAATCATCTCTACTCGTTTCCCTAATTTTTAATATAATGTATGGCAGTAGTATTATTAAACTGTTAACAAAGTTAGCAGCATGCTTGTCGTTTTGTGCTTTTGCATATTATATTATTATCTGATCCTCGATTAGTTTGCTTTTGGTTCTAATTTTGATCAATTTAATATACAAAATGTAGACTCAGAAAGGAACAAGTGGTGATACGGAGGTCTCTGTTTCAGCTGATGAATCAGTACCTGGTCAGCGCCATGACATGGATCAATCGGATCTTTTTGGTGATAATGATTTTGTTCTTCCTGGGTAACTTCTTGTGTCATTTTACCCTATCAATGTAATAACCATAGATGTTTGAGGCCAATGCCTTGATGTATTAACCAAGATCTATTTTCTTCTTGCCCATTCTATCTTCAAATCACTTCATCTTGACTTGTGAGTTGTGTCATGTTGTCTTTCTCTCATTGTATACTTACTGCATTTGGTTGATGATGCACAATGCATGAATGAGGCGTGTGATGCTAAATATTCACAGAAAGATTGCTTTACTTTATGGTTTTGTTATTTATTTATTGATGCGACTATCCAAAAAGAAGATCTCTTCTAAGTTGTATTCAATTACACTCCTGTATTGTCATTAGGAAGACTGCAAGCTGGTGCTATTGAATTTCTTCTTTAGGTATATTAGCAACCTTAAAGTTAGTTTCTTGTAGTTCATGATGATACAAAGCTTTGTGCAACCAAATGTTGAGGGACTCTAATCATCAAAAGGTAGGGCTCATGCAAGTATTCTCGCCTCAACTCAACAAGTAATTTATCTGAAACTAGTTTGGGGTTGGTTGAAACATTTCTCTAAACATCTTCTTACAACTGAGTCACAACGGTTGGCCTTGTTATCTTACAACTTAATATATATTGTATCCCCTGTACTTACATTCAATGTTCTTTATAGCTTCAGGCATTAATATGTGGTCTTAGCAGTTAAACATGATCATGGAGTTCTATTATTTCCTTTTGTGCATGTGAATCATTCGTATTAATTTGATCAAGGTTACATTGCTAGATATTAGTTTATTACACATGTCTGGAGCCACTTCAAAAATCTGAATGGTCAAAGGTCACATAAACCCTTATCTCAATTAGTGGGAATTAGAAAGTTTTCTGAAGCATCTTCTTATTCGAGGTGATATATATATATATATATATATATATATATATAT